TAATAATAGTTATTATTATTTATAAAAATAATATTTGTGATATATTTTTAAGGATGAGTTTCATGTTTAATGAATAAAAGATAATAATAATAGTTATTATTATTTATAAAAATAATATTTGTGATATATTTTTAAGGATGAGTTTCATGTTTAATGAATAAAAGATAATAATAATAGTTATTATTATTTATAAAAATAATATTTGTGATATATTTTTAAATACGAGTTTCATGTTTAATGAATAAAAGATAATAATAATAGTTATTATTATTTATAAAAATAATATTTGTGATATATTTTTAAATACGAGTTTCATGTTTAATGAATAAAAGTTAATAAGAGCAACAACAACAACGACAATATTAGTAATAAAAAACAACTTTTGAATCGTAACATGAAGAGGTCAGAAGGCTGAATTGAGAACAAGCCTTGGGGTAAAATGTTTTCTAGAGATTTGTGTTCCTCTCGCAAGTCGTGAGTAGCACTGAAACCACAATTCCCAACAATTCCCTTTAATGCAAATGCATCTATTAAGAAATGGAGTGTGTTATGTTTTGTGCGAAGTGGTTAGAACTAAAGGATGAGAAATGATTTTAAGATCTTTTTGCTGGTTTGCAAAATGACATCAGCCGTTCTCGGGCGTGGGAGCGGGGTTGTTTTTTTTGTGTGTGTGTGTTTTTTTTTTGAGGGTAGTAGAGAATATGTTCCAATTACTTTCTTTACTCTTAACCACTCCTGAGCTCAGCAAGCTTTCGTGGGTTCACAAATTTGAGCTTGGCTCCGGTTAGTTAATCATTATTTGAAACTGAAACGGACTCTTCCTTACATCATCTGGATTTTCTTAGGATTCATGCTCAAAGAAGCAATTTGGTTTTCAAAGCAGTGCTACAATTTATTTTTCTTTTGCTGGGATCATTATCCTTTTTTCTAAACGAGCATCCAAAAACGCTTCTCTCCTCCTCCTTAGAATCGGAGGGCTGGAAGGGACCTTGGAGGTCTTCCAGTCCAACCCCATGCTCAAGCATGAGACTCTACACCCATGATGGTGAAGCCGTTGCCCCAGCTCAACTCTGCCACGCGTGTGCGAGCGCCTCCCACGGCCAGCTGGCTTTGGAGTCTGTGCTGTGCATGCACACGGGGCGGGCTGCATGTGGGAGTTGCGCAGGGGGAGGGAGAGCATGGGGGGGTCACATGCGCATGCGCAGAGATCGTGTGCTCATGCGCAAGGAGCGGGATGCATGCAGGGGAGGGGATAGTGCGTGCATGCACAGGAGTGGGGCACCACAGGGGGTCATGCATGCATGTGTGGGGGTGGGGTGGTCATGCACGCATTGCATTATGGGGATGCGCGTGCTTTTGGTAGAGGGTGACGAAAAGCTTAACCATAGCAATAGCAGTTAGACTTATATACCGCTTCCTAGGGCTTTCAGCCCTCTCTAAGCGGTTTACAGAGTCAGCAT